AGGAAACTCGAAATTCCCGTGGCTGGACTCCCCCAAAGTGTTCTCCAAGTGCATGTGACATTCCCTCCTCCCACCAGCCCTGCCTTTGTGGGAAGGCTGACACGCCTGACAGACAGAAAGGAACCTGACTCCCCTCATGGTGTTTTTAAAATAACCCTCATTATTTCTCCTCCGAAGGTTATTTTCAAACTCTTTATAACTAGTTTTTTTTTTTAATTCAAAGAAAAGGAATCTAATCCTCTGACTTTCTATCAGAGGAACTCAGGTTTCTAACCCGTAAGGTGGGTTTCTATTTCTTCTCCAATATCCGGGCCCTCTCTTAACCACGAAACACTGCTGTTTCATGTAAAACTTATTCTTGAATAAATGTAGGATTTCATCTGGCAGGTCACGTGGCAAAGGGGAGGCCTGGGCCCTCACGTCCGAAAGTCAGGCATCTCCTGGAGTAGCATATCAATCCAGGCTCACAGTGAGTGAGAATTCTGGAAGGAGTGACTCCCGCAGCCCATGGCTCCTTGGTCCTTTGGTCCCCAACGACCTTCCCGGGAGGCGTCTTTTTACTCCCCTCACTGCCGAGGCTGCTCGGCTGACCCAGTGGCCTGAGACACCTCCCGGCCTTGACACTGTAGAAGGCCAAGGACTGCGGCTCCGAATGGAATCGAAATGAATAGTTTTTGTTCCAGAACAGTACTGTGCAGATGAACCCTGAAGTCTATCTCACACAAGGAGCCCCGGGCACCACCTGGGCCCTGGTCAGTCTTGCTCACTGGCTGAGCTGCTGGCCCTGTGCCCCAGAGTGACCTCGACCTTGCAACTGATCACGGTGGTTTAGATGGTGGTTCAGTTGCAAATGCTGGTTTAACCACACATTGAAAGTGGAAATCCCAGCTCTCAGCATGGACTTAAGGAGCAAGGCTGGCTAGGTGGGAGGTGGCAGCAAGAATTTTAACAAGTCAGGGTCTCCTACATGACCCTTCACCTCCAGTGCAGCTGAGTCCATCTCTATCTCTCTTTTAAAATTTTTTTTTTTTTAATCTTATTGTGGTAAGAACACTTCACAAGAGAATCGAGCTGCTTCCATTTTAAAGTGTACCAAAGATATTATTACCTATAGATGCAATATTGCAGAGCAGATCTCTAGTACCTGTTCACGTTGCTTGACTGAAACTCGATGTCTGTTGATCAGCAGCTCCCTATTTCCTCCTCTCTCCAGCTCCTGGAAGCCGCCATCCCACTCTTTCATTCCATGAATTTGCCTCTCAGATACTCACGTAAGTGGAATCGAGCCGTTCTCCCGTGACTGGCTTATTTCACTTAGCAAAACGTCCTCCAGGTTCAGCCATGTTGTCGCACGTTGCAGAATTTCCTTCTTTTTAAAGGCTGAATGATGTTCTCTTGGATGCATTTACTCATCTGTCACTGGACATTTAGGTCGTTGCCCCATCTTGGCTGTTGTGGATAGTGCTGCAGTAAATATGGGAATGCTGATCTCTCTCTCGGATCTTGATTTCAGTTCTTTTCAATAAGTACCCAGAGGTGGGAATTGCTGGATCATATGCTAATCCTACTTAATTTTTGGAGGAACCTCCATCCTGTTTTCCTTAGCAGTTGTACCGTTTTGCATTCCCCCTGACAGTGAACTAACTACAAGGGTTCCCATTTCGACTTCTCCCTGCACCCCTCCCTCGGAGTACAGCCCCTTCCTCACTGTCTAGGAAAATTCTCCTCACCTTCGACGCACACCGTTTTGTGATCATCTCAGCCACCTCTCCTTCCTGGCTTTTATTCCGATCTGTGCCTTTCCTATTTTTCGGTGTATAATTGCCATCTAATAAATACGTTATGCATCGCACGGTACCAAGTACTTTAAATGATTACTCTCATTTAATCTTCACAACATTCCTCTGATGATGTAGGTACTATTGCAACCTCTGCTTTATAGAGACATGAGTCTTACTGAGCTTTAGTAATTTGTCTAGCTTATTAGGTATTAGAGCTGGGATTCGAACCAAGCTTTTACTGCATCCAGATGCCTGGTGTTTATCTTAACTTTTATTTTCATACACATGTCTTTCCAATTCTCCAAGGACTGGGAGTATGTCTTTCACCTATTTGTATTCCCCACAGTGCTGGGCACTTAGTATCCGTTCGATAAATACGTATATTTGATTGGTTAGAAGAGCAGGGTTTTTATTACACAGCCCTGCATGCAAAGTTTCAAAGACGCACTAATCGTACAAATGCTGCTAATATTGAAGATTCTAACCGTAACCACTAGCATATCTCTCCTTACGAGGTATATATCTTTTCACATGTATAACGTATCTGTCCTTATAAAGCATTTTCACACAATCAATTAGATTCTGAGAGATTACAACATCATATCAGTTAGTTGGGCACATGCTATCTACCATTGTTTCCATTTCATGGTCGAGGACGGGGACTCAGAGAGGAAATCCTACGGTTAGTAGAAGTCTGTGGTCTTTGGACCACAAACACATGCAGACTGTCAAAGGACTTTGTAAGCTGTCAAGGGCTGCACAGTGTTGGGGAGTGTTATTAAATCGCGGGAGAATGATGACGATGTAACCAAGTTAGTTAAATCGAGGGGAAGCAGGAGGACCAGTGAGCTGTTGTAGTTTGGCCTTGAATGTGGACAGGTTGGGTTTGAGGGGCAGCCCCCCACGGGGGTATGTCCAGCTGTACGCAGCTGCCCTGACCTCAGGAGAAGGCTTCCGGCCGGAGGAGGACAGGAAAGGTCTTTGTTCGACTTGCTTCTTCATGTTCTTTGCTCCTGTTCCTGTAGCCCCTTGAGCCTGGAATGCTCTCGCCCTCCAGCCTTTTCCCTTTCCGCTGCCTAATTTCCATTTGTCTTTTTAAGATTCACACCAGGAGTCTCCCCGGCCATCCCGAGCCCCTCCTGGCACTGTCGTGCTCTCGTCACACTGTGACTCACCTTCATCGCTGTACTTCCCGTATCGTCCTGTAATATCCTTGCACTAGACAGTGAACTCCTTGGGCTCAGGGACCACATCTTCCTATCTTTGGTTTCCCAGAGTCAACCACGACTGCCTGGCTGTTGAATGACTGACTGACCATCTGCAAGTACGTGGGGGAGCTGGGAGAGTGCGTGGTTTCTCCATCGGTGAGGGGTTTCCTGGGGGAATGTGAAGTTTGAAACCTCTGTGTGTGAGCCTTTGAGAATGCCAACCACCGGCCCTGACAAGAGAAACACTCGGGTTGTCTTTTTTTAAATTGTGCCAACGCATCCAGTTTGTTTTAAAATCCCCTTCAGTTGATTTTACTTCCATTTAATTTTTTTAAGTGGGAAAATATTTTTTTATTAATAAAATTTAAAAAAGAATACTCAAAAGGCAATCAAGGTGGTCCTCGTGGCTGTCTTCCGGCAGCCCAGCCCTCCATGGACGGTTTGTGAGTTCTCTGGGGCTTCGGCTGTCTCTTCGATGTTGACGACTCTAGTACATCCCCCTGATTCTTGTGTCTTTTGCAGTTGGGACAGTCATTTCCAGTCACCTGCCAGACACTGGATATCTCGGCAGCCCTCCCCAGTCAACCTTCTAAAACAGAAGCCTTTGCTTTCAGAAGATGCTCCTTCCTTTGCCTTTCCTATTTTCGTAACTGGCAGCTCTGATCCTATACGTTTATGAACTTTGCCATCCTTGCTCAACCAGTCAATCATTTGCAAGTATGGTCCATTCAAGTTAACTAGAATTAGAACTAGGGTTCTGAAAGCCATGCCTTCTTATCCTCCTCCGTTTATTTATTAACTCATGCCTCAGCTGTTTATTGAGTGCCACCTGGGCGCCAGGCACTGTTCCAGGCAGTTAGAGTAGAGCATCAAGCAACAATAGAAAAACGACCCGTCCTTGAAGAGGGTACTTTCTAGGAGCAAGGGAGACACACAATAAGCAATATAACAGACAGGTAAATTATTTGGGATCATAGAAGGTGAGTGCTGTTGGAAAGAGTAAGGGATGAGGAATG